ACAGTTTTATTAAAAATTACCTACATACCTAGTGTACGTCAAATCTTCCATCCAATGTGAGGAAAGAGCCTGCCCAAGGACCAGAATGCCATTCTGGTTGTCCACAGTGATGATGAGAACCAGATATTTTTTGTGCACATACTAGTTTTAATAAATTAAAATATTATATTCATTAATAATAGCATATGTAAATGGTACTTAAATCTGTAATTTTTTTAGTCTTCATGTGCACACACACAAAACAAATAAGGCTCAGGACAGTGTGTGATTCTATTTTCCCAGTTTTCATGTAAGAAAGGGAAGGGGAGGCTGAGTATATGGCTCAGTGGCTAAAGCCCTTTCTATACAAACATGAAGACTCTGTACAAGCATGACAGCTTAAGGCAGAATCCCAAGAACCAATGTAAAGTTGGTTGTAGTAGCTCACGCTATAATGGAAGTGCTTCTATGGAAGATGATAATGGAGGGTCCTTGCAAACTGGTTGGCCAGCTAGACTTGCACATGCAGTGGTGAAGAATAAAAGACCCTGTTTCAGAGCACAACTTACACCTCATGTTCTAAGCACGTGCATGCCCCCCCCACACACACAAAACAAACCTGTTTTTTATAACATGTATGAGTTGTACAAAATCATCAGGAATAGAAAAACAACCTGCTTTTTACCAGTGTTCTAATACAAGGCAAAGTAAACTTATTACATAATGGTGTGCATACAAGTCCTAAATCCTCATGTACATTTGAATAAACAGCTTCATCAGCGACTGGACCACACAGCAAGGCCACACCCTATCCTTGGCCGTGTGGCTCCTGTGGGGTTTCTGGCCTCCCTTCTAGGTGTCCTGGACTTCTGGGTGTGGGTGTGACCTTCATTTGACAGATGAGTGCAGTCACTTCTGGTTAGGGAGATCAGGGGAAATGAATTTATCTATCCACACTTACTCCGGATTTTCTTTTGAGATGTTTACATAGGCAGCCTTTCTCTGTTTCACCAGACATTTAGGTGGTGGGAATGAGGGCAGTTTCCTTCCTTTCCCAGCAGAGAAAGGCTCCAGCCAGGAGAAGCTAAAGAAATCAAACCCTAGTAAAGAAAGAAACAGAAACAAACTCTACCAGTCTACACAGGAGCAGAATATGACTTCAGTATTGAGGGACGTGACTGATGTCCCCACGTTATGGGAACCGGTTTAAGCATAACCTTAAAATAGTGCTATAGAGATGTAGGAAGACAGAGAGGGATTTGTCTTTGTGCTTTAAGCCCTTTCTCTTCCACGAGGAATTTTTTTTTAGTTAGAATACATTTGGACCGGAGCCAGGGAACTGATATTTTCTAATCCTTGGTGTTGCTGCCACCTACATGGCAGGAAGACTACACACAATGAGCTCTTCTCAGAGTGTACCTGAGATAGCGCGCGCTGTCTGCAAAAACATGTCCTTGAGATCTCCACATTTATTTCTCCACTTCACTACCCCAAACAAAGGAATATTTATTTTTACCCCATTACCTTGAATTCTCAAAGAACTTGAAATTCTACACTTAGTTTGGGGAGAAAAACCACACTGGGTATTTGAATTAGGGGCTGATCTCAGGAAATCTTCTCTATCATAAAAACAACCTCGGACAACTTCATTTCCAGGCTTCCTTCTTGGGGAAGAAAAAAATTGTCTTGACCTGGTTTCCATATGTCCCAGACCCCCAATCCCTAACTTCAGAATACAGAAGGGAAGCTGAAACAACACAGGATACAACTGGAGACACAAAAATAGCATGGTTCTGATGATAGATGAGAGAGGCTGTTATTGATAGGCAATGCAGTTGACCCCAAAGCATTAACAGGGAATTTCTTAAAAAAAAACTACAGGAAGTTTCTTGTGTGTCAAGAACAGAGCACAGATTCTCTTATCTTAGAAGGAATTGTGCAAACACCCTCTCCTTAGAATATGCACAGGCAGGATCTAAAAGGCAATTGATGACTTTGTAGATAATTGCAATTAAAATGATTGCTAAGTGAGTAAATGATGGGTTTAGGAAGCATGTGCCAACTAATTGTTGCTTTTACACGTTATGAATATTGGCATGTTACTGGCATTTGGCACTTTACAAATTTAGTTTGGGAGTGTACTAAATATGGACTGTTTGTCATTACTGTTAAAGACCTTGTATCCTTGAATAAAAATCCCCACAGTGTTTCAAAGGATTAAGCAACTGAAGACAAAAAGATCTTTACAAATGGTGATGGTAACATGGTGCAGCAATGGGGTAGAGGTGCTTGGAGAAATTGTTGAAAGTCAGAGCCTGAGACACCAAGCAGTTTCTCTTTTATCACAGGAAAACAACATAAGCATTTTCAGATGGTGTATGGATACCAGTTTCACATGCCTGCATATTTTCTTTTTTGTATCATAACTATGTTAACAATGATGCAATTATCACAGTCCATTTATATGCAGATTGTTTTTCGGGGGCAAATATGTATTTATTAAAGAAGAAATGAGCAGGCCCAAGGCTAAGGAATGGTCTTTTAAAAATCTAATTAATCAAAACATTTTAGTGCAATATTTATAAAACCCTAATAACTGGGGAAAAAAAGGTCTATGGTATCCTAAGTTTAGAGATGAGATCTGGAAAAGTTAGAACAAATGTGAAGAGAGTGAGGGGGATGTGGCAGGGCAGGCTTACCTTGGTCTCAGCTCTAGTCATGAGGTGACATAACACCTGCCAATCTTCAAGGGACCTAAACCAGAAAGGAGTTTCTAGATGCAGGCTCCCTTTGGGAGACTGCTCATTTTTACTTATATTTTTTTCCTCCACATGACCAAAGTGACACAGGCAAGAGCATGTGGTGTGGGGTAGCATTTAACTGTGTGTGGAAGACAACATTAGAGATACTTAACTAGTTTAAATTTGATTACCACTAATTTAGAAAATCTTTAACAGGTGCTAAGCATTACACAGATATTTACATAGTAGAGACTATGAAATTAATAGCAACTTTGGCACATTGGATATGCATTAGAATCCATTTAGTAGAGTACAAAAAGTTCTGACCATGCCTTAAAATAACTTATCACAGAACTGTATGCAAATTAAATTTAAAAACATTACAAGAGTCCATCCTGTGAAATGAAGACTGAACTCAATTGAGATTAAAATATTCTGATACTCTAGTTTAAATATATAGCATATACATCAATTTCTTTGAAAACTAGATTATCATAATGTAACTTTGAGAGATCAAGGAAAACCAATATTGTTTCTGAAAATGTTGATGTGAACGTCTCTAAAAGGATTTTAAAATAACAGGAAACTGGACACACGAAGGAGATAAACATGACCCCAGATGCCAGCCCCTAAAGATAGCCTACCTACTGTAAGGTTTACTTGTCATTTCCTGATGCTAATATGTTCTAGGAAGAGTCTTTCCTCGATTTCTAAAACAGCAAGGGAAGACTTGAGGCCATCTGATTGTATGCTTATGATACCACACATTTGACTTTCATTGGGTGTTTTCCAGGACTTCCATTGTCATTCACAAGCCACCATACCGAGTTCTCCTAGGCTTTTGGCAATGGGACAAAGAAATGAGGCTCTGAGAAGCCCACACTGCCAGGAGACACCAGGGTAGCCTCTCTCTCAGCCCCAAGTGCTTTCTAGACTCTATCCCTGCACTACCAGCAAAGACCAGGAACAACTCCACAAAGTGCTTGAAGGGTGCTGACATTCATGTCTGAAGATGTGGCATTTCTCAGAATTAGATTTCTGTATGTAGGTGTTCACAGGCACAAAGAAATGCCAAAAAGAAATGCAAGATTATTTTAAATTAACAATTCATTACAGTAACAGGACTCCGAGTGCAACAGTTCGAAGCACTCCAGTGTTCATCAAGAGACAGGCCTAAGAAAGACACACTGCCCCAATCGAGAAACCAGTTTTAACTTGAGAGCTGTGGTGCCAAGTGGTCAGATCCTAACTATTCATAGGGCAACATGCTACTTCATTTCTCTAAAACAGAAATCACTGAAAACATGGACATAAGACAGTGTTCTTCAGGGAGCATTTTCAAACAGACCCGGGGACTGGCATGAGGGGCACACTCAGTTCTAACACATTCAGTTCTGATCCTGATTCAGTTTAGGAGTTAAATTTTTTTGAGTGCTGTCTTTTAGAAATTGATAAAAATAACAATCATGATGAAACATTCAATATGCATTTGTAGTGGCTTAAACTTATGGTGCTGAAGAATCTGAAAATTCTGTTTAGTGAAGTCAGGGTTCTACCTTGTCTGATTTCGCACAACTGCCGACACCATGAAATATTTATCAAGGATTCTGTATTTGTTTCTTTGGACCTGAAAATATGCTAAATACAGCAATGATTTAAATGTATTGTTATTATTTTATGAAAGGGAATACTATATCTATGAAAATAATAAAACTCACTTTTAATTAAACAACATAATTTCAACATGTACCTTTTTAACTATTAAAATTTCCCCCTTTAGAGACAAATTTAATGCTTCATCATCTAAAATACCTGTGATGTCCTTGAAAGTCACATCTATCCCACTGCCTAGCTTGTTTGTAACTTGGTTCACTTTACTCATGGCTATATCCAAAGGGGGAAAATGCTCAGAAGGTAATGGTTTCCACAATTATTACTGTTGACAACTGTTGACAACTGTTGACATCTTAAGTACAAATCAAAATGAACTTCATGCAGAGACATACTATTTTAGGAAACATGGGTTTCCATGGCATTATAGTTTTTTGATATTCGTATTAGATACATTCATCTAGCTCAATAATTATAAGTTCTCGAAGGTTGCAGAGCAAGGCAGCTCAAAGTTCTCTTTTTGAATCTCTCCTTGCCCCTCACTGCTGCATCTCAACCCAGGATCTGAAGCTAGTGCTCAGAAAAATGTTGAATTAAAATTGTATGAAATGAAATGAACCACACACACACTACTTATATATTATATATATATATATTTATTTTCACCTTTCTATGGATTAAGTCATATTTCTATTCATTTAGATATATGTTAATAAACTTTGATGATTTTCTACAAATTAATGAATCATTCAATAAAAGTCATAGCACATAATTCAGGTTGGCTGAACAGATAAGCACTTTATGCCCATTTCTGTTGATATCGCTCGGCAGTTTTTAGTTTTAGAATTCCTGCAAGCACAGCTTCTTTCTGAGAAAAGAACCTTGGCTGTTTACACTAACAAAGAACAAACTGTGGTATGTAGTAAGTAGAATCCCCTCCCCCAGTTCAGGTTACATCAACCTTTAATTAAAGACATTTGCTACGGTGTCATTAGAGCTCCGTACTGATTGGACCTCGCAAAACTAGACACTCTTGTATGTCACAGATTGGCTAAAGGACATTTCGTGTTTAAGGATGACATGTGTAAAGGTTGGTGGGAACTGAGGCACCCACTAAAACATTATGTCCAAGCCCAACACGGCAAAGTTTGGGTTTAAATCCTTGAAGCAACAGTGAATTGAGAGTCTTGTGCATTCCTTTGGCTTCTGTAATTCAGGCACCGGGAAGGTGAACATCTGAAGCAATGTTCAATATATATCTGTGGGCTGGTATTCTTTGTTACAATTAATGACAGAAAATAAGGGGGAGTAAGGAGACTCACTTAGACAGTTATTTCCTAGAATTAGAATTTGGATATCCTCAATCAGTGATACATTTTTAATACACTCTGGCTAATATATTAGCAAATCCACTAGAGACCAATGACAACATTGCTTTTATTTGGTGTCTCTGTGCTTCTGTTAGTTCATATTCGATTCCCTTTTTGAAATTCCATCTAGCACATCCTGCAGGAGCAGACCTTCGCTATCCATGGACGATGCCTAGGCTGACCTAGAAAGAAAGCAGACACTGGGTTATGGAAGGAGGAGAGGTGTGGGAAGGGGAAGAGTGAGGAGCAGAAAATGAAGGAGAGCATTGTCTGTGATTTCTGCATTCCTTTCCTACTCTGAAGAGAAATACATTATATGATAACTAATATCCCTGTCTTATAAAGCAGGTACCTGCATTTTAATCCCACACATTACCAATAGCTTTTAATCGTCCCAACAACAAAATCTTCCAAAATGATGAACTTGGCTTGAAATAGGCAAATTCTTCCACATTTTAAGCAGCTTAATTGTTCTCAGAGCAATCTACAACCATGGTTTCAGTGTCAGGCTTTATAAATATTCGCTGAAGTACAGATTATTTTGTAGAATCAAAATATGTATCTCTCAAGCATTTGGGTAGTTATCTGTGTAGGATAACAAAATGGGGGATATGATAAAAATGGTTTGACTATTCAAAGAAGTGGAGTCTTGTGTTTCTATTAACTGTTTGGGTTTTTCTTTTCTTTCTTTTTTTTTGTATTAAAAATGCACTCCAAAGTAGTCACTTTCATTCTTCCTGGCAAAATTAAAAAGTGAACTCTTCATTTTAATAAATACGGCACCAAATAAATACTGTACCATATATTGTTACATGTATATATTCCTGTGAATCAGCCTGTGGTTTTACATTGCTTTAAAATTTATTATGCTGGAGTTTACATTTTCTCATTGGGCAAATTAATTAAGACAGTGGCAATGCTAAATAAAACCAGTAGGAACCTGCTATTTTATTATTGACATTGTTCTTCCTTTTTCTAGAACAAGTTTCAGCCCCAGCCATAAGCCTGTGTTTGGTCATCATGATTGATGCTCAGCTTACACTGTCCGCATTTTCTGCCTCATGCATCATCATCAGGCCCCTCCAACACTACTTTCTGATTCCTGGCTTTTGCTGGTGATTCATCAGACAGAGTAGCAAAAGAAAAAAATCTCACCTTGGCTTTTCACAATGTATCATCCTCTTTGAGAATTCTAGTTTTGTTCATCAGATTCATGCAAATGTAATATTGATTGACAGTGATGTATATAGATCCACACGCACAATGTGCTACATAGAAACCACTAAAATGCTCTATTAATGGCAGAACACACACTGATTATAAACTACTTTGAAATTGATGTGAAAACTTAGTGAATGCATTTTTTGTACTTTCCAACTATCTCTTCTCCACTATTTTCAATTGACACTACCTGTGTGTATGTATGTGTGTACATTTATGTGTGCACATACGTGTAGGCCAGAGATTAATGTTGTTATCATTCTCCATGTCACTTTTTGAGACAGGGCCTCTCACTGAACTCAGAGCTCTCTGATTCGGATAGACTGGTAGACCAGCAAGTTCCAGAGATCCTCTTCCCAGCACTTGGATTACACCTGGCTTTTTACATAGGTGCTGAGGATAAAATTCAAGTTATTGTACTTACACGGAAAGCATTTTACTGACTGAGTCATCTACCCTGTCCCTGAAGTTATTTTTAAGTGCACTGTCCCTAGAATGTTAGGATGTAAAATTATTAATTTTATATGCCAAGGTCTCTCATTAACAGTAACCTAAAAACTGCAAACATTGCTCTATGATTTTTTTATCATCATGAGTGTGAAGATGAGGGGCAAGGGGTCTCTAAAACAGTCTAGAGGATAAGACTGAGTTTTATCCAGAAGTTAACTACATGATCTCAAACTATTTTTGGAAAACAGCTTTTAAATTCAAAAGTTGCCAAGCCTTAAAAAGCTAAGGAAGGAATGTCTAATGGCTCTAAAATCACAGACAGGGGCCTGCACATTCATGATGCCGTATTGGGGCTTCTATTACTAGACATCAACCTTATTCCCACAGGCTTCAGCAACATATAAATGCCAGGGTAGGAGTAGGTAGACTTCACAGAGCCAGAGACACAAGCTCCTATATGGTATTCACCTGTGAGCCAAAACTCACTGCTGATGAATTATTTCAAAGAAAAGACATATCCAAGGGTTACTTTCCCCATCAGACCAGACCTCTAGGTTCACAAGCAAGGTTGAAATAGCAAGAACACACTGGCTGACAGGTGCCTCGCCAACCTTAATGGACTCTAGGCACTCACCTGGGTATAAGGCTTGAACCAATAAAGATCAGAATGGCAGGATGAGTAAGGTACAGCCCTCCAGAGAAGAGGTGAGCACACTCTGCAAGACCTCTGAGCTGTGACCCATATGCAGAGTGGCCCATTTATAAACAGCTCCCCCTGGCCAGCTGTAGGCTGGGAGGTAACGTCAGAGAGTGAGAATTAGCTCACTGTCTCCAAACACTACTCAGGAAGTCAACTGTATCATCTTATGCCAAATTTAAGGTTTTCATTTTATTAATGGCATTTAAAAACTAGCAGCATTAAAGATAGTAACTTCACCTCTTTTCAGAAATATACCTCAGCTTCTCCACGCTATCTTGTCCTTCCTACTTTCTGCCCATGAATGAGGGCTGAAGATAGGGTGATGTAGCTACAGAAACCAGAATAAAGTGATAGCTTGAAAAGATTTAAAAACAAAGACAGTATTTGGATAGAACAATAGAGGAAGCGATACTCTTGCTATGGGAAAATCATTTCTGTTTTCCTTTTCTAAATACCCTTTAAACATTTAGCCTATTCATTTAAAATGAGGTAATAAATATATTAGTCAGTTAGCATTACATTAAACTACATAAGGTCAATATCCATTACAGCAAGAAGGCTGAACATACTCAGTTTTGTAACAGGGGGATTTTGTACATCCATGAAGATGTTAAAGGGAATTTCAGATAGAATGATGACATTTCAGGGGAAATCAGAAAGAATGATGGCTCCAGACTTAAGTATACCCCTTGCATACAACATCATTGTAAATTTAGCTACCAACACACTTCTCTTAGTTACGGTCTCAAATGTCACCACTTCAAACCTCCTAAATTTGTTTTTGTTTTTGTTTGTTTTCTGTGTAATAAAGGTGGTTAATATTTCCTAGATAAATGGCACCCCCACGCAGTAAACAGAGGTGTGTACTCATCCAGGATAATACTCATCCTTGTAGGGCCCTACACGTTGAGTCACTCTTAAGTTTATCTTTGAGCACTGAAAAATGGGTTGTCATAATTTCGCAGCTTCAGAAAAGTCCCTCTCTGCCACCAAATTCCCATAAGATGCACAAAACTTATTTTCTTTCCTTGTTCAGTTCTAGGAATGTCATCTATCAGATGCTTCTACTCTGAGGAAATCTCATGTCTCATCAAAATCTTTTTCAGCAAACACACACCTCTGTCAGAAGTGTCTTAATTTCTTATTACAGAATTTTATCCACACGAAGAGTAATAAATAATTCATGCTACTACCTCTTTGTTGTGTGTCCCTGAACTGCACAGAGCTGGGAAGCTGACAGCTGTGTCAGGACCAAGCACCCAAGATCTGACATGACAAGCCACTAACAAGTTCCTTTCAGTTTGTCCCAAAAGAAGACAACAGTCCAAAGTGCAGAAATAAATCCCGAACCAAAACGAAACAGCTTCTTTCTTTTCCCTTAAGTGTTTGCTATGAGCTGCTTTCCGACCCACAAGCCCTGGTCATTTTACAGGACTGCCCAGCCCCCTTCTTCCTCACACTTGCTTGGCCATTTACGCCTGGCTACGGATCAATATGAGCAATTCTTGGAGAAATACGATGTCTCCATGACAACCAAGCCACAAATTCTCAGTGGAAGGCAGTGAGACCACTAGCGAACCCTCCAGAGGTTTCTAGGCCTATAAGGGTAAGATGTCTTAAAATGCAAGGATGGACAGAGGAAAAAGCCAGAGCAATTCATTCTTTATTACCGGTTTAATGATGTCCGATGTATGGAACAGTACTTACTCTATAAGATTTTCCCCGTGCCCCTGTATTTTCTAATTACTCTGGCTTTTTTTATATGTTCTTTTGTTCACAATCTGTCAGATGGTGAAAGCCATTTGAATTTCACTCTCAGTCCACTTATATTAAGGCATAGTGGATGGAATCATGTTGATGCATCGTGCTCAAAACAACTAGTTCTCAAGTAAATACCTGACTCCTAGATTTAACTTCCTGACAAAACGCTTGATGGGAAACAGTTCATCCAGAGCTGTAAAAACCTCGTCAGAATTAAGACAGTTTCAATCCTAACTAAAAGCAATCTAAGAATAATATTTAGTGTAGACAGTTAACACCACCATCACCCTCTCCTCTTTAAAGTGAAATGAATTGACATTGCCTTTGGAGTGTTAGGCCAGGGAGCAGGCTAATTTGTTCTTTAACAATTTCTGTCATTGTAAAAAGACGCTGTCTCTCTGTGCCCTCGGATGCAGACGAGAAAGCGTTGCTGGGATCGGGCACACAGCTGCAGCTCATCTTCTAAGAGATCCTAGTGCAGTGGAGGGCCTGATACACACTTGCCATCACCACCGGGCCTATTGGGGTTCCAAGATGACATGGGGGGGGGCTGACACAGATTGCAGGCTGCACCTTTCACTGAAAATTAAATCTCAGTATCTCTCCTCCGGGAAGGATCAGGGGACTGTTTGCAGCTGCCCCCCTGTCAGGGAAGGCGACACAATTTGGAAATCTCTTAACTAAGCTGACAGCCTACAGAGAGGATGAATCAAAATATGATACAAAGATCAGCACACAAAGATGTGAGAGCGTGGAGGGGACACCATAGCTAGACAAAACAGAAAGAAATGTCCAGCCTGGAGAGAGCTAACTCTTTCAACCATGGTATTAGCACCTCATGGATTGTAGTGGCCCTGCAGTGTCATTCAGTTTTTAGTAACAATTCTTTTCTTTGTAATTAATTAATCATTAAAATTGGGCTTATTTCAAACCAAATCAGAATAAAAAAATTGCAGCTAAGTTGTCCTAGATATCTTTTCCTGGTACATTTTCCTACTTTTCCTTTTCTCAAAGAGAATATCAAAGTAAGCAACTTTGACACAGAGTAAATCTTACTTCCTGATAAAGGGTTCCGACAGTCTTTCCCATTGTTTGACTGTATCCACCCTTGTTTTGCTAAAGCACTTTCCTCTCAGAGTTCTGTTTGAACAGGGAAAGGTAAAGAGATTCTAGTGGTGGCCATTTGTTTCTCTCTGCTCATCTCTGCCTTTCTGCCTTTCTCTTGTTAGGTCTCATTATTTGAAATATTTGAAATGTCAACATTTCTCTAGGTTCCAGCTTCTGTGTGGATTAAGAAGTTTAGGTTGGAATTGATAATGAACTAACGGTGTCGGCTTCCCTTCTCCGTCATAACGTCTTTCTATTTTGTCCAGCTGAATTCTTGATGAAAGAGGAAAAGATAACAGCCCCACACCGTGACCTCCTGGGGGGGGCGTTAATTTGAGAGTGCAGCTGCTAAGAGCCAGCAGCCTTCCAGTGTCCTCCCCCACACACTCCCAAGGACCCCAAAGCTGTGTCAAATTTATCATTTTATACTTGACTATGTTTAAATGGCTTCCACCTGCACTCTCCGACTCTTCCAAGACACATCTGTCAAGAATGTCCTCAGTATCTTGGAAGTTTGCCGAGTTCAAGTCGTTGCCATGCTTGACCGGACCGACTGAAGCTGTTAAAAAGAGAGAAAGGAAAGAGAAAGAGAGAAAGACAGCCATGAAAAAGTAGCAGTGAACACCATTAGACCATTTCAGTCCCACAGATAGTATGGGGCACACTATGGAAAACACAAATAATAAATTGAAATAAAGTGTATCCTCTAAGTATTTATTGGCAGACACGTAATTAGTTGAAAAATCCATAGATGTGACTTTATCTCAGAAGAAAAATAAGCTTCTGGCATCAGCTTAAAAGCTACATAGCTACAAAGTGACAAAGTGATGCTTTCGAAGTAGAAATCGTATTTTTAATGCATAAATCTAAGACAATACAGTCACTTAAGAGCACATGGGCACCCAGCAAAGAACAGCAGCCAACTCAATTAGAAATCCCAGCCCTGCCCCATGGCGTGGCTCCTTCCATAGCACAAATCACAGGAATGGACTCTTTGTTTGCACTTTGGCTCTCTTTTCACCACACCAAAACCCATGGCACCAAACGCGTGCACACAAAAAGGCTTACACAAAGGAAATTTTCAAGCATAGAATGAATGCATTCAACATGAGGATAAGAAGGGCCAGTGGTTTGAACAGTAGGCAACCCAACAACTTTTCACAAGATCATTTCCTAGGTAGCATCAGGGACTGACCACAAATGGAAGCTGGCACCCAGGTACAACATTTCCTGTAAGGACATTATCAACACAAATTCTTTAACATATAGACTCCAATCTCTGTGATTTCCACAGGTTGAAACACTTGTTGTAAATGACATCCACGAGCAACACATTTTCATGTTACCTCCTCACTAGTCAATAGCTGCCAGGAAAAGTGGGTCTGCTCAGCATGAGGGTGCTCAGCAGACAGAATAAAATGAGTGCCAATCACACAGATTGCATCACACCAACTTATCTGAAGCCAAATGTACACACATTATTGAGCACATACATTCCTGTGAAATTTAAACATGTATATATAACTGTCCATCTATGTCCCCATATATGCATACACATACAGATTTGCATGTATTATTGAGTATATACACTAAAGCAGACATGTAAACATGTAAACATCACCATCCATATGTATACCTATATACACATACACATATATACATAAGAATATACTATCAAGTCTACATATACTCAGGTAGACATATAAATATTACATATACTATTACCTATACACTATTGAGTATATAAATACCCATTAAGACATGTAAACATGCACATACACAACTATAGAAAGCATGCATATATAGATATACAAAGTATTGAATTGAATATACATATATATATATATACATATATATATACTCATTCTCCAAGGATTTCTAAAATGAATGAGTAGACCAGGTACTGAAACAGAGGGGCCAGACTAGCTGCCTCATAAATCAAGAGTATGTGTGTTCTCAATGATGTGTGTTCAGTTAAATCCACAAGGAGATTGCCAGGTCATACTATGTGGCCAAGTCTGTGATCTGCAATGAAACGTCTATGTCTATTCATTGCACATGGGATAGTTAAATGCAGCAAAGCTACAGAAAATTGTTATACCAGTCAGCATTTATAGTCTTTTAAAATGGATTTTATCTCAATGTATCTTATTTGTTAATTCTCTGAAGTAGTGATGGTGGTGTTTACAATAAGGAACAGATCACATAGATAAATCTTTAGCTAAACACAAATGAAGTTGCATCTCTATTTATTTGGGCAAATGCATTGTTCTTCTCATCCAACATATTGTTCTTTCATGATTGAACACCTTTCAATAGTCATCCAGTTATTTATTTCTCCAACATATTTTTACCAAACAACCAACATTAAAAATGCTACTCCAGTGGGTCCTTCCCCTTAGTGCTGAACTATTGGCTACTGGTAGACTCTGGAAGAAAGGAATTCATTGTTTTCAGTTGTATACCCACTGGTGATCCCAACAGACTCCAATGGATAGTTCTGATCCTTGGCCACATAACAGGCCCTACTTAATTAAACTTTGGAGGGAGGTAACAAACCAAACAAAAATGTAAGCATGTGAGGAAGAGATTAGTAGGGAAGGTAGGAAGTGGACAGAGGAGAGTGAGAGATTACAGAGGGAGGGGGATGAAATCTGTATACTACAAACATGTGTATAATTGTCAAAGAACACATTTAAGCAATAAAACATATTACTGGTAATTAAAGACCTCAAAAGGAAGAGGACATGGCATTAGAAGAAAGAAGTACCTACATCCATTATCTGTGCCAATAGGCAAGATTCAGATGAGAAGATACATCAAATATTTTCAAAAAGCTAGAAAGTAGGATCAGCCCCTAGTCTTTCTGGAAATGATTCCAGCAGGTACCACTTAGCTACTCTTTGCCTTGACTTCTGATTTCTAAGAAGCTGGTTCTTGTGAGGGTGAGTGTTGCTATTATGTGGAGGTTATTCAAGTGTCTTCTTTATTACAGGTGAATTTTCAAATCTAAAGTGCACATGATTTGCCATTCTTTCCTGGTAGGCTCACGGAGCAAGCGTCCAATTAAACTTACTGCGGTAGAAAGGACCATGCAGTGTCAACTGGGAGCAGCAGGCTTCAGAGAGGTTAATTACTGCCAATCTGCCTTTTGTTTGTTTGTTTGTTTGATAGGCTAATCCTTGTGATTGTCCTTTTGGGTTCTTCCTGTGGTGTTTCCTCATTAAACTCTGACATGATGAGTGACTGGGGTTCCAGTAATGAACCCTTCCAAAACCGGTGAAATCAACATACATTGATCTGGTGCTTAGTATGGGCATAGCTCTTTGATGGACCCTTAGGGGCAAAGGAATGGAGGTACTTTCCATGCACCCTCATGGAACTTGTTATCTAGTTGATGTACAATTAACAAAATTAGTCAGGATCTCTGGAGTTCACAGTCTAAGGGTGACATGCCTTTTAGGAGGGCAAAGAAGTTCTCTGCTAAGGAGTACTAAGGAGGTGAAATCTAATATAACTCTTCTTGAATGAGATTGTGGGATGACCAATGGGAGGCATTCACACCAAAGAAAAGGGCCTGGACACATGTGTGTCCAAAGAACTGTTGTATACCTCACGCCACAGAAATGTTTGCTAATGCGGCTGTCCACTTGGGATATTTGTAATGAATTCTCCTTGTTTGTCTCCTGGAGCTGTCCCTGAATTGCTGTTGTTGGCTAATTCTTCTCACCTGTAGAAGTTAGCTATAGACAGATTTTTTTCCTTGTCCTAGATAGTCAATAATTTGATCTTTACTGATGGAAGACCCATTTATCACAGTAGCCATCCTTTCACTATACATATCGACTTTTCCTTATCAATACCACAGTCCATTTGTAGCTCATCACTAAAGTTCTTGGGTGTTTTTGGTAGTTTTTGAAGGTGCTTTTCAGAGCTTGGCAGGGAGATGCTTTTGACATCAATACAGTGCAAATGGTAGTGAGACTCATCTTCAGCCTAACATCAGCTGCTTATTTACCCTAGAATAGACTGTTAAGCTGTCTACATATGGAGGTTTGGGTCTCCAAAAGACACAATCTACTTACCAGATCTCCACTGAAAGATGGAAGTCTGTTTCATCCACCGACAGATGGAAGGTTGTTCCATTTACTCGCCACATATTTTAAAATATTGACAGCCAAAAAGATGATTCTCTGAATATCTTTTTAATATGTCCTAAGTCAGTAGATAGAGAGAGGAGTGCTCTACATGAATATGAGAGACTATGCTACCTTTAATGGGTTTAATTATAGATCCTAAGAAATGAAACATTCAGGCAAAGACAATAGAAAGTCAGTATCTCTCCTTCCTTCCCTCCTTCCTAGGTTATGCTGGTTCATATTCACATACATGTACACACATGTGGAGACCAGAGATTGATGTCAGGTTTTTCTCAGCTTCTCTCTCCACCTTGTTAATCTTTTGAGCCATACCTAGCTTTTATGTGGGTACTGCAGGCTGAACTTTGGTCCTCATACTTGCACAGTCTAATCCATCTCTTCAGCCCTCAAAACCAGTAGTTGAAAACTACATCCCAAATATTTTATGAGGAAGACCTTATGGGAGGAGTTATTGTTTAAGTTATGTAGTCACATGGCCATATAATTCCAAGTGGCATCCTCTACACACCTCATTCTCTATTCTGGCTTCTGTTATTTTCTAGAAACTTCCTCCCACCCTTTTGCCATTTGTAGAATGATGGTATTAAAGGCAGCTAGGTCTAGAGTATTGACTGCCTTTCTCATGACTGTGACTAAGTACAGAAATACTTAAAAGAGGAGAGTTTTCTTTTAGCTCCTGATCTCAGGGTATATCAGTCCTGAGGAAGGTGAGGCAGAGCAACTCAAGGGTGGCTAAGGTATGTGGCAGGTTCTCTTCACATCCTGCTAACAGAGAGGAAGCCAAGAAAGCTAGACCAAAACTTTAGGTAGGAAAAAGCACTCAAAGGCCCATTTTCAGGAACTCACCTCTGCTGGATTAGCAAAGATTCCATAGCTTCTAACAAGCTGGATACCAAGGTTCAAACACATGAGCCCAGGGGGAAGACTACCACACATTCATACCACTCCTAGCTAGCAGAGTTCCAGGGGATACACTCTCATCTTGGATAAGAGAATAGACACCACCAATTAAATACTTTCATTCACTCCACAAACAGCACATGATCTTCTCAGCTAAACTACCATTGACCAAGCAGAGTACTTGGTAAGAACCTATGACCTCCTGCTATAGGTAAAGTGCATGATAAAGGGTGTTTTCAGAAGAGACAGCACTCCCTATGCCTAATGGAGTGATTACACATTGTTCATAAAGTCTCACAGGAGGATGCTTGTGACCAACAGCCCTCATGTCCATCTAATTCAGCTTGAGTCCATCAGTGAAGCTGTTCTTCCCACATGCAATAGTTCTATGAAGACTGTATCTACAATCATGAGAATTATCTAACTTCAAAAGTAATATTGTAAGGTCAAATATTTCTAATTATCTTTTTTTGTTATGTGCTTTAATTTAAAAAAATCC